TTTCTACCCAAATCAGAACCACTCTGTAAGTTCAAGTGAGCACTCACCTTGCAATTTCCGACGATGGAAGCGAGGAGACCCCAGGAAACTATTCTTGATGGAGTTGAGCCGTGTCCTCCATGGCATTCCTCCAATGCTGGGGCTGGATGGTGGTGTTGGGTTGGGTGTGCCTGCTGGGCTCTCCTTTGGCGTATGAACAGGTGTCCCCTTGGGGGTAGGGAGGGGACTTCCCCTTGGAGAGGGGTGAGGGGTGACCTGTATGATGGGGATAGATTTGGTGCTTGGGTCAGTACTAGAAGGGAGCAATCTAACAGGAGACATAGGGTTGGTCTGCACTTTAGGAACAGCCAGCTGAGGGTTGAAGCCGGCAGCAGGCAAGTGGCCCTGAGCATTCGGCACAGGGTTGTTCTGGGAAGAGGGGGCGCTGGCATTGCTGGTAGGGAGTGGGTTGGATTTAGTAGACTGGAGTGGTTTTTCAGCCAATTTGCTCTTGGATGGCAAAGTCTGCGTCTTTGGGTTGGGCTGAAGTGCTGGCTTTGGTTGGAGTACATGTCCAGGCCTGGAGGCGTTCCTACAAGCATCAGGGTCCAAGGAGACTTGGGGTCGGGGAGAGAAAGGGAGGTCGGAGGTCTGAGGGGGGATGAAGAACTTTCTGATAGGCTACGAGACAGACGCAGAGTGTCCATGCACATCAAAAACAGTGAAATACGCATAGAGCGGGCGAGCAGAGAAAGGAAAGTCAGAATAAAATCCATCCGAGTCACAAAGATGCACCATGTCACGAGGAGACATAGGAGATGGAGGTGAAGGGGCAGTGGGGGGGAGGGATTTTGCAAAGAAACGAAAACAAACAAACAAACAAAAAACAAAAAAAAGACATGCAGTTAGCTGGGAACACAGCATAATCAACAACAGCAGCAGCGGCAGCAGCAAGAACAACAGTGTCATAACAGGCTTCATCATATTAACCAACCACGTGTCAGCAAAGGAAAATAACAGAAAGAAAAGTACAACAAAGGAACAGTAAAAAAAAAAAAAGGAAAAAAAAAAGAAAAAAAAAGAAAGAAAGTAACCAAGAAAAAAGAAGAGAGAAATGCCATCTCTCTGGGATTGTTCTGATTGCCCTGCAGTGAGAGAAGCACGATGCTGTAGGGAGGTGAGGAAGGGGAAGAAGAACCACTCAAGCCACAGACAAATTGAAATGTGCCAAGAATGGGACCACCTTGTTCAGCTCCATGTGCCCATATGCAAACTCAGTAGAGAGATGAAACTCAGAACAGGTGTGTGATACATACGGAGTGGCAGGTGATACACACAGTTACTGCACACACCAGTCAGAACCTCTTTCCTTCCTCTTTACCCCTGACTGGCTAATGCACACCTGAGTTGCAGCCACTCACTGCAGAAAAGGGAGGGAAAAGGGAGAGCGATGCTACCCGGGCACCCACTCTGCTCTCCTGACCTGGAAGGTTAAATTGCTCAGCATTCACTTGGAGGCTTCAGAGCACTCAACACCACGAGAAAAATATGAACTCAGATTGGTGTTTGATTTGTAAACTGCTCCAGCAAAAAATTCAATGAGGCCTGGCAAATTTATTTATCTGGGAAGAGACAATACTTTCCGTCAGACTTTATGCTCCTCCTGCAACATCCCTCATTGCACTGAAGGACAGCTTGGTAATTGGAATTTCTGCCTTAAAGTCTCAGCAATATTTGCCATTAAGACCCAAGTCTATGGAGAGGTTGGGGTGAGCTATTGTTTTGTAAGACACAGTTTAAAAAGAAAAAGACAACCAAAGTTCATAATCCATCAACTGAGGTATCAAAATGGGATTATGATTTTTTTTTTCCCAAAGCAGAACCTTTACACATGTTAAGAGGCATTTTGGGAAACCATTCATACATTGACAGCAAACAGCAATACACAGACTTGGAAGGATAGAAGCCTTTTAAAGGGATATTAGCAAGCTAAAAATCACATTTAAACCAAAATAAATGTCCTTACAAAACATTGCTGTTAACACCTTAGATTACAAATACTGGAAAAATTGTAAAAATGAAATCATTATTCAAGATATTCAGCTTTGGTCTACACTTAGGTTCTGATTTCTATAAATTATTACCTATGAAAAATTATATATCACCATTATTATCATCCATTGTTAACACCGACACTGTAATCTAGTGCTGTCCAGATATACCATGTACATGTAGCCATGCCTCAAATCTCAGTCCCAGGTAAGCACACTCATTAGGGAGTTTACTTTCTGGGTTTGATAGATTAGCACAATGTTGTAACACTTCAAAAAATGCAAGAATGTATTTAAGACTTAATTCCTAAACATGTTTGCATCAAAGTTTTGAAATTACTTCAAAGAACTTAGGGTTAGGCCACTAAAACTAAAGGAAAGTCACTACATCAAAACATTTGCATTACTATTAGGACTGTAAAATCAGCATCTGACTATTAACCATTTGCAAATTACACCAATGAGTAAAAGTCAAAGGCTGTTGATTGCAAATGCTTCCTTGCAGTTTTTGTATCATATGTGTATGATGATTTGAGAAAGAAATCTGGAAGAACTAATGTCAAATTCAACTCCCACTTAAGCCATTAAGAATCTGAAGGGGCACCTTTAATTACCACATTGTTAATAACAAAATGAAGAACAAGATTAGGTCTCTATTTCATCTGGTGCAATGGGGAACACCATTAGCAAGATCTTGTGAAATTTGAAAAATCTTAGTTGATGTTGAACTCAATTCCTTACAGAACTGAACCTAAGCAGTGCACGTAGTGAAATATGTATTTACTTTTAAAATATGTTCTCTTTCAATAATCTAAGGTGCTATTAGAAGCATAGGTAAGGACGTTTAAAAAAAATATGATTTTAATTCCAACATTTCCTTTTAAGCCTCAAATTTGACCTGCCTTAATATCATTATGATCTGCTGAAAATGCCATCTGGTTGCTAAATCCCTTTGAAGACTATTTAATCAACTGCCTATTAAGTAATAATGCTAAGATACAGCAACTATGGAACAGATCTTGTCAACCTTACTCTTTGATGTAGTCCTACTGAGATGTCAGAAACTGATCCCAAGAGATCAATTAACGAGATCAAGATTTAGGTTTGCTGCACTGGATGCTTACTTTGTGCACAAAACAGTTCCCATGCTCTTTTTCAGTATGTTTTGCAGTGGCATAAGAGTTCTGAGACCTCTGCTTCATTCCACTGACAATCAGGAGTCCCAGTGCAGAAAGAAGGAAATGGATCTTTGCTGGTTCTTAGCAGTTTAATGACACAGAGGAGACCACAAACATATTTATGCCAGTTGCAAAACAGGGTAACAATGGACAGGAATCCAGAATATGTTTCAGAAATAGTTCAGCCAAGCAAGATGTTGGAAGCTTTACTAGTCTTTAAACTTAGACTCAACAGCGTGTCTTTGTTCGGAAGCTTTACTAGTCTTTAAACTTAGACCCAACAGCATGTCTTTGTTCATATGAATTACACATGATCTTACTGGGGAATTACAACTTTACATATCTGGAATACTGATGTTATCTTCATACACCTAAAACTAGATCCATAGGTGTATCCATACCCTAACACGTGGAATATATCCATTTCCAGTGAGGAATGGCATCTTCTCATGAAGTCATGAATCCATAGGTGTATCCATACCCTAACACATGGAATATATCCATTTCCAATGAGGGATGGCATCTTCTCATGAAGTCATGGAAAGTATGTTGAAATCCTCCAAAACCTCTGGGCCAGACAGTTAGGTAACATGGATTGCCATAGCCCTACAGGCTTCTTGATGAGGTCTAGGCTTTTATACGGAGTGCAGTCTTAAAGTGACTTAGCTGGCCTTATCAGGCACTAGGAATACTCTCTTTTATCCCTAAAGAAGTTAGCAGGAAGACAGAGGCCTCTGTCACTGCACTTCAAAACTGTAACAACTTTGAAACTGCACTTTCTGCTGCTGAACATCAGTATTAATTGACTATCAGTATCTAGATGATTGTATGTTGAAAAAGGGCACATGAATGTACCTTATTTATAGGGGTTTGAATGTTCTCTTCTTATTTCAGTCAACTTCTTACTTGCCTTTTGAATTTGTTAGTCCTCAAATTCGTATAATGTATTGTCTCTGATTTTCTAATACATGCTATTCTGAGGCAAAAAGAAGACAACCAGCACAGTTTGGTTCTCTACTGTGACCTAATTGAAGGCAGCTGTGAAATGGTTCCTGATTATTTGGTCTGAAACCATGCTGTATGCAGACCTCAGCTGGATATGGCAGTGTTTAGTCATAGCAATGTTATTCTATGTGCTTATGAGACTGAAAAAGGGCAGGGGCACAGTGAGATCCCTGCTAACAGTGCAGGGAACATGTATGATGTGCTTATGAGACTGAAAAAGGGCAGAGGCACAGTGAGATCCCTGCTAACAATGCAGGGAACATGTATAAGAAATTCTTGGCTTGCAGTTGTAAATAACATTTCCCTCAACACCCATGAAAATTTACAAGCTGCCAAGGAAAAACAAAACATCCCAGCTAAGAGCCACAGCTCTGGAGCAACAGATGTTGAAAAGCATCAAGCATGTGTGAGTGAATTGGACCAACAGATCTTGAAGCAGCACCACTTACCCTTGGACTGCTGAGAGGACTGGTGGAGAGCCCAGATGATGCTCCGCTGATTGACCGAGACCTGAATGGACACAATAAGGAAAACATCCCTCAGAAAACTTGGACAAGTAATAGCCCTGAACACCAGCCATCACAGGCACAGGCATGAAGTGAGGAGGAGGAGGGAGGCTGTCACTGGAAAAGCACAAAACTCTTTCCTTTTCTTTCCTTTCACTACTGTCACATTTTTCAGTTGTCCCCCTCACAAATGAAAGCAAAGCTGTTGCTCGGGGAGGATACTATAATCCCTTTTGATTAAGGTAGCTGCTACTTTCTTTTTTGGTCATCAAGAACATGGAAGCTACTGTGTCTGACCTTGCAAGTTGAACTGCTGAATTCAAAAGGAAGGTGATGACATTCATATTGGTTCTGAGAATTCTGTTCTGCACAGTGCTGGTGCTCACAGAATGAGACTTTCTCTGTCACAGGCAACATGGAAAAGCACTGTGTGTACAAGGCATAGAGGTAAGGGATTCCTCCAAATATTAATTGAAAAACTAAGTCTCCTTGATCCAGGTGATCAATAATTTCCTATATGACCTCCCAGTGAAATCAAAGCTCACACTAGCTTAACCCTTTCCAGCTTCTCACTGATGGATTTCACATCTCTGCTCTCCAGTAAGATTTTTTGCTGCTGCATTGAACAACACAGGCCTTCTCTATGGATAACAAGTTCTGCTGCTGTTGATAACTTTACTAATATCAAGCTAACAGCTCAGGTGCCCTCAAAAAGAGGCCAGTCAAGGGAGAGTAAACACCTATTTGCTGACAAGGTCACCTATATCGCAATGCTCTTACGCTCTCCATCAAAGGTCACCTATGAAAAATGTGGTGACAATAAATGCGTAACTGTGTTATGCTAAATGTGGTGAAAGAGCAGACAAATCAAACTGCACAAACATTTTAGCAGAAGAAGTTTCCAGGAGGAGGACTGCCTAGCAGAAAACAACTCCATACCCTGTGTGTGTCTGCACATGAATGAGCCCCAGAGGCAGCTGCTTTCTGTCCTTTTTAAATAGGAAAAAAGTTGTCTTGAAGACCAAAACATCCCATAGGAGAGGACGTGGCTAAGAACCTAGTTGTTCAACAACCACCATGCAACAATATGTCAATATAGCAAACCTACCAATGTTTCCCCTATAGCAAGAGCCAAGAAAGCAACTACTTGCCTTCAGGTAACAAATATGGAAAGGTGAAATTTCTGTAGATGTCTGGAAAACAGAATGCATGGGTGTGTGTGTATACATATGTGTCTCTGTGTGTGTGTGTGTACACACATATATTTAAAATTCATATAGCTCAGATAGCTAATGTCAGCTTATACATAATAAAAAACAAATTTAGACCATAAACTGTCTCAGTTTACTCTCTTCTACTGTTATAGAAGAATAAAACAAAAAAAATCAGTTTCTAAAATGGTCTCCCAGACATATATCACCAAAGAAATGTGAGTAGTAAAAATCAAATAAAAAAATATGTGAACTGCAAAAGAAGAAATATTTCCAAGGAAAAGGTAAGCTACAACTGAACATGATGGCAGGTCCTGTTTTCCCTATTTGTATCCTCAGCAGAAACTACTCAGTGATGGTTTTCTTTGTATGTCCATCACAGTAAGTAGGTGAAATCCAGAAGCCCAGTCTCAGCCTGCTTTTTTTTTTTTTTTCCAGATTAAATCTAAATAGGCACCATAAAAATCTGGGGCACTTATTCTATGCAGAAACTCCCTACTTAGGTTTTTCTTTGTACCCTGCTGCACTCTGCCCATCATAGTGCAGCAGTAAAAAACTACAAGCTCACTCTTGGCATTCTTAAACCTAGATTTGTATCATCTTGGGCACTCATAAAGGTTTATGCAAAGTAATTTTAAGGGAAGAACTGTCTGCTCTACCTTTGAAAGGCTACTTTATTTGCCTTTCCTATGGCTGAAGTCGCTGACTGCACCACAGGTGTGTTGTGCAGATGGAAAGTCCATTTAGTTAAAATCTTCCTTGCATGAATCATCTGGGAAAGCTTCTTCCAAACCATAAATTACAAGAGGAGCCTATAGATTGTCTTGGACAAATGTGGAAGGCATTCAGGTGCCCAGAGATGCAGTTAAACACCAACTTAAAGGAGATGTTCCCACCAGCTCTTAACTGTGGTGGGAAAGTCCTCTCTGACACTCACCTGAATTCCAGGACACTCGATTAAAAGTTCCAATCTATTTCCTTTTTTTGCAATCAGCTGTTTCCAACAGTCCTGAATTCTCCCTTCCCAACCCTACTGCCTCCTATATTTTTATTTTTTTTCCCCAAAAATGATCACACACACGGAGGGCAAAACATGGCAGGCCCCACCTCCCAACTCCCAGTTCCTTATTGGAAGCAATATTTGAAAAATGGTTGTTGTGTACTGTGTTTTCATCCAGCCTAGAAGCCTGAGGCAGGGGACATAAGAGAGAGTTAGTGTGAAATCCTCTGGAAATGCATTCAGTATCCACATGATTGCTATTGAACAAGCTTTATCTCTGCTGCTCATTTACATGCAAAATACATAAGAACTAAAGTAGGCCCTATAGCAAGTTTTAGTTTGTCCACACTGGAAATTGTATATAGGAGCAGTGGAAAGAGTTTAAAGAATCCTGGGCTAATTTTAAGTGTTGGGGTGAAAAGAGGGTTGTACATTTTCAAAACCTTTCTCCTTTACCAGAGAGTGCTGGGATATGACACCCAGATTGAGATCTTCCTTGCATCTTCTTCAATTTAACAAATCTCCCATAATTTACCTTTACAAATGGGACACACTTCCCAAGCTGGCTATAAAACCTCAGTACTGTGGTTGGTTCTATATTCCAGTACAAAAATGCTAACAAGCAAAAATGACAGATTTGCCCCTATCATCAAGATCATCTTGGCTGAGCAATGCTGTAATTCAGTTTGTAAAAACCAAAAACAACCACATGCACTGCTCCTGTATCTCAGAGTCAGGTGGACAGAACTGGGTCAGGGCCAAAAGAAAGTAATGAAAACATTGCATTATGCTGAAATGCTGTAATGAAAGAACAGAGAGAATTAAAGATTTTATCCCTCTCACCAGAAAACGAAAGTTTGAGGCCCTACAGGCAGCACATCAGTGTGGCAGACTCTTATATGTGGAAAGAGGAGAAAAATATGACATGGTTATGAACTAAATTTATTTAGTGAGAAACAACTATTAGTGAGTAACTTCCTAAGAGTCTCTATAGGCATTAAATGTCATTGGAAGTATTACATCTATAATTATTCCAACAACTTCATACTAAATGCAACTCTCTAGGAAAATATGAACATTGTGTGCGACTCATTTTGTTCTGTTTTGCATTGCTGTATGCTTGCACACTAACTCAATGGAAGTCATCAAAATGTTGTTGAAAATACAAGCAGAAAAGTCAGTGCAGTTGCTCATGAAAGAGCACAGAAGAACATTCCCTCAAACACAATTGCCAGATTTAGAGACCCAAGAAGAGACTCTTTAGTCCCTTCCAAAGTGACATAGTTGTTTTGCCAAGCCTGGAGGGAGGAATTAAAATAAGACATGAAGGAGCTAGACCCAAGGTTTAGGAGGGGGAAGATGCAGAGGGCACTTTAAACATTAGGTGGACACTGAGATCATTGCAGGCTGTTCCTCCCATTCCATAGACTGACAATAATCTGGAGACGTCTGAGCTATGAAAGAGAGGGGCAAAGGACTGAAACAAAATGTGTATGTGTGGGCTGCAGTTTGTAGCTGACATTTTATTCAATCTAATTGATATTTCAAAGTATCAAAGTTAAAAGGTCCTTCATTTTAAAGGAATTTTTTACTCTTTTTAGCCAGCTGCTGTCAAAGGGGAAGTGATGCTAGGCCCAATTCACATTAGAACAGTGTTCTCTTACTGGTGGAATTGAAGGGCTGGAATCCAGTTTCCAGCTGGTTTCAGAGAACTGTGGAATTTCTTGAGAGCTGTAAGAGGTGAAGGGCTGAAGCCTGACACTGCTAAGGTGTAGACGGAGAAAAATACAAGAGAGAAAAGCGCAGCTGACCTGGTAACCGTCCTACACACAGAGCACATGGACAGACCATCTCTACACAGCCCTTCTCTCAGATTAGTTTGCAAGTGCTTTGAGCAGTGCATCTGCTAGTAGAGCATAAAGGCTTCACAGCCAGAATTTAACAGTTAGGTCAGATTTGGCATTTGTTTCTTCTTCAAATAACCATCACACAGAATTTTTCTTACGATCAAAGGGGAGTTTGGTACCTTGTTGCAGTCCCAGCAGAACTTGCTTTCATAGCACAGTTTTACCAGGATGCTGAATACAGCCTCTTAGCTGGTCAAGCTGGAGCCATGCTTCCAAGAAGGGGAGCCTGCAGCATGCATGCAGCGTGCAGTAATGCATCAGACTTGTGTCCCTGGGTGAAATGCCTTAGAAATTTTGAATTTATTTGATTCCACATGTAGTTTTGAACGTACTGTTCCAAAAATATCCAGCCAACCTCTTATTTGCCTTCAAGCTTAAACTGAGTGGAATCTGATACTCCTCTTTCCTTTCTCACTCATAACCAAAAAACTTGAAACTGAATTTCAGGGTATGGCACCCCTGAAGATGATCTGAATTAATATGTAATAGGTCAGCAGTCAGGCTGTGTTCAATTTCATCATTAGTACTCTTGGGTGTCTAGAAGATACAAACTGTGCTTCCTCACTCCCTGATTTAGGGAATATGAATAGAATACCTTTGATGCTCCACTGTCTTACAGTCCCAACCATGCAAAGAATACTGTAACAGCTCTCACTGGGAATACTTATGCTTCAGTCAGAAGGTCTGCTCATGGTAGTAACTGCTTGTAAGATGAAGCCTTACAAAGAGTACAGAGAAAGGAGTGCAGGTGTGGGTAACACACCTCTTCTTCCTTTCAGTGCATACAGAGGGTGATGTAGAACGGCACCACCCTCTTTAATTGGCCAATTATACTAAAGTTCCATTTATAAATGGTTTAGAGAGAATTAATAAATAGTAAAGCACG